CCATGCTAAGCCACGAAGTTGGGTGCAGACGGGAAAACGAAACCAAACAAACACAGTCCTTAACAAAACACGCATACAAACATTTTAACTTTGTACCTGAAAAAGAAAAAGAAAAAACACAAGCAAACAAAAACGAACAGAAACATATTGGCCTGATTGCTATCGAAGTATTGCCAGAAAGGAATCACGAGGAAAAGAGCAACAGCCTCACATGAAACATGTCTCTTCCTCGCAAAAAGTAACCCCAAAACTTTTCTGTAACCATCTATTTCATCCCTATATTCCATCATCAATAATATCAATTTCGTACCATATTTACGAATCACAATCCGTGTCATATAAAATTAACACTAATTAGAACCACATTTACATAACACCGTACACTATAAGAGATATGATCAGCAATGTAGTATTATTAAGGTCACACTTTTTAAGCGAAAGAAAATTGCTAATGATGTGATTTACTATGTGGTTGGAAAACATTAGTTGGAAAACCTCAAGGGAAAAAAATGATTAGGAGAAAATATGTTTGTTTACCTGCGATGATATCAGCACCGCCGCTAATAAACTTGGAAATGCTGTGGACAACCACGTCGGCTCCGAGCTTCACCGGAGAAAGAACCATGGGAGAGAAGGTGTTGTCGACGACAACCGTGACACCCTTCTCGTGCCCGATTCGGCTCAGCTCCGGTATGTCGGCCACCGTCAGAGTCGGGTTAGACATGCCCTCAAAAAATAGAACTTTGGTCTTCCCAACCTCGATCGCATTCCTCACCATATCCATGTCGTGGATGTCCACAAACGTCGTCGTTATGTTGCAGGCCCTGGGGAAGAAGTGGGTCAGGAGGGCGTGGGTCCCACCGTAGAGGGTCCTGGAGGCAACGATGTGGTCCCCGCTGCTGACGAGCTGGAGCAGGACGGAGGATATGGCGGACATCCCGGAGGACGTGCAGTAGGCAGCCTCGGTCCCTTCCAGGGCAGCCATCTGACGGCTGAGGTTGAGCACCGTCGGATTGAAGTGACGGCTGTAGATGAAGAAGTCCCGGTCGGCGCCGAGCTCGCCGGAGAACATTTTGCGGAGGGTCTCTGGCTCCATCACGGTGAAAGTGGCGGAGGCCTCGATGGACATGTTGACACCGCCGTGCTCGCCAAACTCATGGCGAGCGCTGGCAAATGCCGCTGCCGGGTCGTCCCAGGCCGCGGCCGCAGCTGAGGACAACAACATGGACTTTTTGGCGGCCACGTAGTCGTCGTTGTCCATGTCATCGCGCTCTGCTCTCTTCTTGGAGGTGGCGTTGTTGGTGGGGAAAACAAAGCCCTGGGGTTTGGTGTCAGCCATGGTTTTGATTGGTGATCGGAATTTGGGTTTAGGGGGTGTTTGGCAAAAATTAAAAAGAGAAGAGGATGAAGGAGGAGGAGGAGGAGATTGTGGTTAGGTTTAGGGGATGTTGCGGGAGGTTATCTTCTATATATAGAGCCTAGAGGGAGAGGGAGAGGGAGAGAGAGAGGAGGAGGACAGTGAAATTGATGATTTGTTACTATAGATGGAACCATGGATGAAAGGTACAGTGAATCTGGTCAATTTTTTGTTTTCAGAGTGCCATGTAAAACCTCTTCTTTAACTGCTGTATAATTTGTGTATGCGTTTTCTTTTACAACTTTGAATTCAAGGGTGGCGTTATTCTGTTCAAAGTTTAAGAAAACAGACGTATAAGTCATGTAAGAACAAGGATTTATACGGTCCTTGAAAGAGATTAATTTCTTGTCCTAACTTGTGTGGGACAAAAATAGTTCGAGGGTAGGTGCAGGTATCAAGCGCTAATTACTTGTTATATAGGATTAGGAATATTGATTTACAGTTTATCCATACCGTTCATTGTTTATGTCATCATCAACTTTTTATTGCCTCCTCGTGAATAGAGAGTAGAAACTTTTGCGGTAGAAAATGATGATGTTTCGATCGAGCATGTTCTTTGTTTTTTGGCCGTATAAAATTTTGCAAAGACTTGGCGAGTGTAAATTGTCAAGTGGGTGTGGAATGATTAATATTCAAAGTGCAATCTACACGTTTTATTATTTGTTATCTTGTTGGTCAGAATCTACACGTTTTAATCTGGTCCTTATCATATGGAGAAAACGATCTCATCTGAAAAGATAAAATTAAAATATGTACAAGAAACAAAGAAAGTAGGTGAACCTAAAATAATAGTCGTTGATGCTCTGGCACTCGGGGTGAGAGTAGTCAATCTCCCCTTAAATTTTTTTATTAAAAAATAAAAAATAATAGTTGTCGTTGTTTTCTTCTTTGTCGTTGATTTTCTTTTATTTTCGCTCCTCCTCTCTACATCTGTCAAAACCATAATTACTGTTTACAGCAAAATATAACCAGAAATGGTGGCCCTAACTCGTTTTAATTTTATCTAGATTTCTAACATATTACATATATGATATGATATAGTGAGAAAATCTCGCCTTTGATTCCTTCTCCCCAAATTAATTAAGGTGGTATTAGAAATTTTTTTGCATCTAATTCTGCAAACGTGGCCGTGAAGCTTATCTTCTCTCTATTTGGGGAATTTTGTGACCAAGGACTAAGCTTTTAGACATGTCCACATTCAAATCCCAAATTGACATGCGATTCTGGAAATTTCCAAGCAACTGGGAACTTAATCATGTACATATATGTGGTTCAGTAAAAAAAAGGACGACCCTGTCATCGTGACCAAACCAACCCCAAAGAGGAAGCTAAGGCTAAAAGAACTTGGCTCGTAATATGGATTCGTACACTTATGTTTCTCTCACTTGGGATATATTCCAGATCTCTCTCTCTCCTTTTTGTTCTTCTGTTGTGCAAAGACGACTGGTCGTTATATTGCTTGTGACTCGCGAGCATGAGCATGACATAAAGTTCAAAATTTAATCACGAAGACTTTAAACGCATGTCGTACGGACAATGATTTTCTTCCACGCAGTATCAAAGCATGCATGGTCCCAAAGCGGGGATAAGGCAGAAATTTTTCACACAAAAACTGCAAAAAATGATGACCAACAAATGATAGCTAGGGAATTGACAATCCATGTTCAAACAATATGGAAAAGTCAAGCTATGAACATAGACATGTTGAACAGTGGACGTTCATTTCTCACTCCCAAATTTGAATACCACAACCCAAAGCTGAATTCCTTTCTTTATTATTTTTTTTTTAAACAAATAAAACCTTACAAAGAAGATTCTATAGAGATATTTAGTTATATACACATTTTTAGCATTAATGATATGGATAAATTCTACACTATTTAATTTATATAAATAAACCCAAAAGATGACAGTTAACCTTATTGAATTTAATTTTGATTATTAAATTACTTTGATGTTCTGTTAAGTGTTTTGGATTTTTTTAATAAGATTTTGGGATAGTGTTTGTTTTAAGAAATCGATGATAATTTTGTAATTTATAAGAGGTTAGAAGTTTCTTTATTACGTTAAAAATGGAATTTAAGGTGTGTATCTAATTCCATCTTTATACCATATATAAACAAATGTAGATAAGATGGGTGAAGGGATGGGACCTGACCACTTTGTAATCTCCAACTTTCTTAATCCTAATTAGCATCTTATCCGAAACATGGCAATATATTATTTGAAAGTACATCAAGTAAACAGAGAAGAAAAGGACTACAAATTAAGACGTATCAATTTTGGCTCGATCTGTGGAAACTAGCGTTGGATGACATGGGAAGAGTACGTGTACACTGATGATAGCACATGAGTTGTGGGTCCCATTGCCCCCATTATTCCCCGAATTATTATACCCACACAAAAAAGAAAAGGCTTGTTTATTAGAATAGGGCAAGATGACAAAATATTGTTCTTCGTAAATCTAGACATCAACTTCATGTGCCCCGGTTCAGTTCTTTTGTCACATACTTTTTTTCGTGGTTCAATATACCTAAACAATGAAATTTTGATTTTTTTTTATACAAGTGATAATCTAAACTATATAGGAGAGGGGTTTTCTCATATACACACACAACTAAGATGTCATAAGGTTCAAATCAAAGACATCTGATATTGTTTATTAGAATAGGGCAAGATGACAAAATATTGTTCTTCATAAATCTAGACATCAACTTCATGTGCTCGGGTTCAGTTCTTTTGTCACATACTTTTTTTCGTGGTTCAATATACCTAAACAATAAAATTTTGATTTTTTTTTATACAAGTAATAATCTAAACTATATAGGAGAGGAGTTTTCTCATATACACACACAACTAAGATGCCATAAAGTTCAAATCAGAGACATCTGATCTGCAAGTCAATATTATTTTCCATTGAGTTAAACCCATTCGGCTTTCTTAAATTTTCATTTTGGGGAGTTCTGATCTACGGTGAGAAAAACATGTTGAGTTGTGATTTGTAAATAGCATCACCTTTGAGTTTGAGTTCATTTAGCCCAAATAATGAAAGAGAAAATTTGAATTGGCACTCTTTTTGGGGTTTGAAGCTTCACCTTTGAGTTTGAGTTCATTTAGCCCAAATAATGAAAGATAGAAAATTTGAATTGGCACCCTTTTTTGGGTTTGAAGCTTAAGTTATGGAAATCGTCTAAATTCATCCCTACATGTACTGCCCTGAATTCGGTCATCCTACCATTCAAAGGGAAGATTATTATCAACTTAGCTTCTGTTGGTCAATCTGAAAAACTAGAAATAATGTCTTACAAAAAGAAATTGGAAGAAGAAATTACATTTGAGATGTGGCTTTGCGCGTGCCCAACTTCATGGCTGAAAAGCGACAAGATTATCCATTAGATTGGATAATTTAATTATAGATATTATTATTATATACCAAAACAAAAATCTTATTAAATAATAATATCAGAAAAGCAAGAGCAATGACGCAAGGGCTCACTACCAATAAATAAACCAATGAAAACAAGTTCCAATAGCAAGGGCACACCAACAAAAAGCACCTAATAATTCTTTGGCATGTTGGGAACAAGACAGAGATTCCCAGCCTGTTTGACATTAAAAAAAAAGTTAAAATGGAGCTAAATGGTAATCAAAGGCATGGATTTGGATAACATCATTTTCGTCTCTGTTAAAAACCATTGTGTTACAGAAGGCAAAACGCCTTTCTTCCTCATATCCATAATTGTAAATAAAGAAAACACAAAATGCAATTCTCTTTCTGCTGATGAAAGAATCATGCATAAGCACTGCATTAAGAAGGAAAGAATGCAAGATCTTTATGCTCATGAAAGTTTCTGTCAAAACAATAAAACCATCCAAGGCATAATTGCCTGCCAAGTACCATCGCATTCTTAAGACTACAATGAGATAAAAGATGCAAGAATGAATCTATCTCCAACTATACTTCCAATTGGTGCAAACCCTCCAAACGTCGTTGCTCACTTTCCGAGTCACTAGAGGAAAGGGCTCCAGATTTTCCTCTCTCCAGATGCTGAAGGAAATCCATGACAACTGGATCAGTCCAGGGAGCTCCAAATGGAGCTTCAGGACCTGCAACCCACCCTAGATGGCCACCTTTGGGTGTCACTATCAACATACAGTTTGGATTGTCCTGAAACAACAGCAAGGGATATACTATATTAAAGTTCCGATGGGATAGGAGAACACAGAAACATTTTCAAAAAACATCCTTCACACGCAGAGGGAACCACAAGGTTAGGTCAATGGTTGACTCATTTGATGCTCCTTCACCCTCCTATAAATTCCAAGCACATGGGGTCCTTTAAAGTATTTTGTAGAGCCTTTTACGGGACATTCCAGTTCATTTCATTTAGTATATGTCCAGTCTAGAACAGTCCCTCCATGGTTATTCTTCCCCAAAACAAATGTTGTTTTACTTTCACTGAGTCAGATGTGATTACATGAAGGGAGAAAGATAATAAAGCAAACTCAAACTAATTTGGAAATAAATGCATTATTTTTATATTTTAAATGAGTAAACTCTACGCACCGACATAAATCCCCTAATCTTGACACCAACTGATAGGGCAGTGTTTTAGTGGTTTATACTTGGTCCTGCTTACTTTTATCATGTCACTCTCATCTGTCACATTAGTTAGCATTCAAAATTTGGGACTCATGTTCAATTAGATTGGAAAAATCAAATTAAACACTCATGTTGAACATAAATTAAGGAATGGTATCTAGCTCAGGGGACTCCACAAACCTTGATATCTTCACGAGGAATTCCCCTGTTCGGAGCAATTGGATCATTTCCCGCCTGAAAACAATTAAGAATAATAAGTCTAAGCAAATTTTTGAGATTCACTAAATATGAACACTATTTTTTTTTAATAGAAAGGGCATGCATGTAAAAGGATGGATGAGGTCAATCACAAGGAAGGAAAGAAGTGATTTTTTTTCCTCTTCTTGTTTGGCAAAAGAGGAGTGAAGGAAAGAAAATATATAGCTGTGTATAACAACTATACAATTCATAACGTGTGATTAATATGCTCATCTTTCCCTCCACTAATTCGTCTATTTTTATAGGGATAGATTATGCTGGATCTAGGGGTTCCTGAGCCATCCATTGTTCCTTTCCACTCAAACAAGCCAACTCCAAGAATTGATAATCTCTCCCCCTTCCCTAATATCTTTCCATCTTTACTTCCCTTTCTCTTTTCTATCATTCCTACCAAGCATGGTATTGAAAAAGACAGAGGTGAACATATATGCCCAGGCTCTATGTGTCTGATATATGCATATAACAGATCCCTTATCAATTCAACCATAAAAATAACAAAAAAGCGTCCAGAACTTGCACAGTTCAACATCAGTAATGTCTATTAAATCAAATGAAATGTTCTGGAGATAGATTACCTGAATGCAAAGCAATGGTATGCAGACATCCTTTATGGAATTGGAACTACTGGAATTAGAGTAGTAGTCATCTACGGACTTGAAACCAAATGAAACTGCAAGTTTTCACCAAAGGAGGTGTTCTCAGAAGATGAATGTCATGGTATAACATCCAAAATAAAAAAGGTTCTTGAACACAAAGGACATACCACGAGTTAGTCCATCATCAAACTCCCTGACAGACTTAGCATTGGCAGCCAATGGAATGTTAAAATCACCACCCATGTCTTCAAAGAGTAGAGCATGCCTAAAATGTAGGGTCAGAAAATTGGGTTATCAACCTCAAGCTGGAATAACAATTGAGAACATAAATCAATTTTTCATGGGATTACTTCTTGAAAATTTTGGAGAGAGCACTTGCAAGAGCTTTGTCATAAACGATGTTAAAGCCCTTACGGAAGTCCTCGTCTGCAATGACCAAATTGAAAGGATTACACAACGACACAGCACCAGAAAGACGACATGCATGAGATTCCTGCAAGTACCACATGATTGAAATATAAATAAAATGAAATTGGAGGAGAAAAGGCTAAAGTAAATTTCGGTGCAAAGGATAGGCCCTGGTATTGCTTGTGTTTATCATTAACCTCCAGAAACATTCGAAGTCATAGGAACTTTAATCCACGCACAGATAAGACTGAAAAGAACTCTGTATTTGCATCCCAGCATCCCAAGTCCATACAGAGTGGTTGACTAAATACATGTACAGTATTCCACCCTTTTAATGGCCCCACTAAATCAAGAAAAAAATTTCTTTTCTGCTGAACAAAATTTTTTGAGTTTCTATTTTCCTAGCACAAACAGCATTGGGCCTAAATACATTGATGAATTGAGTTGAGCAAAAAAAAAAACACACAGCTTGTTACAACAAGATAGATTGCTAAACTTACTACATTGTTAAAGCTAACCAGTGCATTACAGCACATATGCAACACAAGTAAGCATGAGCCAGACGAACTAAGCAATTCTAGTGCAAGTCACCGATCCGACGAACAGAAATCTCAAAAGCAATTGGTCAATCACAAAGTATACCTGACCCAAATACCGAACGAGAATGTTAGCACCAAGAGACCAACCAACAGCATACAGATTAGCTTTTGGATACCGATTACCAACATGGGCCACTACTTCACGCATGTCTCCTAAAAATGAAGCCGAATAGAACTGCATATCAGCGTCATAAAATAACCAATCACAAAGCTGGCTTAAGGCACATCAAAAAGTTCAAATCTTCAACATAAAGCTCCCCATTAAAGAAAAAAACAATTGCAACTTAAGAACAACAATTCCATTACAAGTATCAATGTTAACAAATTGTACACCCTGCTAGGAAATTTTTTTGAACTTATATCACAGTTAAACAAAAACAAGCATGAATTGGGTTCAATTAGTTAGCACAAGTGTGAACACAGAAAATTGATTTGGCCAAAGTGAGAGTACCTGAGGAGTTGTTACAGGGCTACCACCACAACCACGGCTATTGAACACCACAACCCGCCACCCTTTACTTCTGGCTCGAACCAACATGTGCCTCACATACGAGTCATCACTCCCTCCAGTTAAACCTGGCTGCAACACCATCCATTACCCAAAAACCAAACCTCAATTTTTAACTCAAAATTTTTCCGCTTTTTTCCTTTTCGTTATTTTCCCGGGAACAAACAAACAGGACATAAAGGAAAAGAATGTAAGAACGAACCAGGAGAATGAGGAGGGGGGAGTCGGGAGGCAAGAGGCGGTCGTCCCTGGAGACCCAGTCGAGCGAAACGGCGCCGTTGTCTGTCGTTCGGAGGCACTCGCGGCGAAGCCTGACGTCGGGAGTCGATCTATAGAACGAGGCGAATATGGTGGGTGGGGTAGGGAGGCGGAGGGGGGGAAGGAGGGGGTGGAGCGCCCCGCCGAGAGTTTCGAGGGACGGGTGGGCCATCGGGTCGGCGGCTGAGCTGACGTGGAATGCGGATGAGGCGGCGAGGCGAGTGTAGTTGTGGAGATTAGACACGTGGCGGAAGTAGGAGAGAGGTGGAGGAGAATAGCCCAAGGATGCTCTGGCCATTGGTTGGTTTGTTTTGTATATAGCGAATGGATAGCAGACGAGTGAGTTTTGGAAAGAGACTCTGAAAAAAATGTGTTCTTTCTTTTTTGCTTGAGAATTATAATTGAAATGGTTAAATAAAGTTTTACTTTTTATTACAATTTTGATGACTTAATATAAACTCCAGGCATATTAATAAATAAATTAAAAATTAAAAAGAACTACCCTGTGCAATGCAAGGCCCATGGGATGATGATGATGAGAGTGTTAAGGTCGTGTTTGGTGGGCTAGATTAGATAGAATATTTTCAATTAAATTGGATATGGATCATAACCATTGTTTTGTGCACTTAAATGTGTCTCAGACTGGATATAGATATCTAGATCCCAAGTCCCAAATAACTAAGGATATGAAACCCAAGCCCATATGTGGGTTTAGGAACCGCGCCGTCTTGCAAGAGCGAGCGCCTCCTCTAGTTTGATGCCTTCTCTCTTCTCTTCTTTGAGAATTGCAACAACATCGGCATCGCGCAGACCAATGGACCAAGGCATGGAGGAATTGCAGCAAGATCGCGTCATGTAGATTGTCACCACTTTTCGTCAATCTGGCCAAGCTTTTCCATTATAAGAATCGCTTGGCGTATGCTCTCTCTCTCTCTCTCTCTCTCTCTTTGTGTTTGTTTCTCGAGAAAAAATTGCCATGAAAAGGCAATTCGAAGGAAACATTGAGTTAAGATATATTTTTGTTTTCATTTCTCAGTAGCTCAGTGTATCATATCTACACATTGAGCTTTTTTTGTTTTGTTTTTGTAAATGAAATATTTCGCATGCCATTGTTTGTGTCAATTTTGTTACAATTATGATTGTTCTTGGATATGCGAATTGGGTTGATTTGTAGGCATTATTATAATTTTTATAAATTTATTTGTAATTTTTTTATTTCGCAATTTTTGTGTCAATCCAGAGAATCTCAACTTGGTGTTACTGCACCAAACAACTGCTTAAAATCTAGTTATATCCCAATCAATCCAGTCTAGTATAAAATTGACACATTGCTTGCATTTCTATCGTGTACTGTAATATTCACTTTCTTATTATTGGAGAAGGCATAGATTGTTTTTGTAAATGTTTTAAGATGACATATCCACCTATTGTAAAAAAAAACTCGTGTATTAACACATGAAAAATGTGTACGTACATGTATAATACATGTAATGTATGTTTGCTTAACAAAATATTTTATCGAGTTTTTAAAAAGTGTATGAAAAACGAAAATATTATTGAAAAATACTCACGTATGTGTATAATACGAGTATTAAACAATAAAATGCTAAATTCTTTATACGAGTAATAACTCTAGAAAGTAAAAACTCAAAAGGGCACAATAGAGACTCGGGTAATGGCCTAATAGTAAGGGATAATGCTCTAAACTACTATAATTAATAAACAAAAATCAGGGGAAAATTTATTAAAAAAGAAAAAGAAAGGATCACAATATATATAATATAAAAAGTATAGCTGCGAGGCTATACAACAAGTAAGAAATAATCTTAACCTTTCAAATTCTTTCATAGTTAGTAAAATACAGAATGAGAAAAATATGAACAAAATATGTACGTGTTTTATTTGGTAAAATTTGGGCAAGTTACAACTAAAAAGTTCGGCCACTATATAATATTTTAATATTATTATATTAAAATATTTCATGTATATTATTTTTATTCAATAACATCTGAAAAGTACGTGTATAATAAATGAAATTTGTGTGTATTATTGAATTTTTTTTAAAACACGTGCATTAAATATGAAAAATCTGTACATACACATGTGTACAATATGTGTATTGTATGTTTTCTTTTAAAAAAATATGTGTATTTGACAAAGTATTTACAGTATTATTGAAAAATACATACGCACTTATATAATATGAGTATTAAACGGTAAAATGCCAAATTTTTTATATGGGTTATAACTCCAGAAAGTAAAAAATAAAAAATGGACAATAGAAACTTGGGTAATGGACTAATAGTAAGGGATAATACTTAAACTACTGTTATCGATAAACGAAAATCAAGGAAAAAACTTATTTGTTTTTTTAAAAGGACCCGACCAGCTCCTTGGCCTTTTTTAAAAAAAAAAATACGACTATTGTAGCGCGGCTATATTATTATATTTAAATTTTTAAAAATAACATAATATAGCCATGCGGCCATACTATTTAAATATCTTATATTTAAAAAGTAAAATATATTATATTTAAATCTCCATTTTGCATTCTTCTTACAACAAGTAAACAATAATCTTAGCCTGTCAAATTCTTTCATAGTTATTAACATATAGAATGGGAAAAATATGAATAAAATACGTATATGTTTCATTTGGCAAAATTTTGGCAAGTTACAATCGAAAAGTTTAGCTACTATATAATATTTTAATATAATT